AATTATCTAAACGTTTTATAGGAGTTTGTCTGGAGCTTCTGAGCTGAAATCAATTTTCTGTCTTAACCTTAGGAGGTCAGAGGAGAAGAGAACCAATTATTCTAACAAAGACAGAAAACTGGCCCTCATCATTGAAGGTTATGGGTAAATTAGAAGCGTGTTCCTGTCATGGCTGTAAGTAACAGCAATCACATCTGGTGATGAAACACAATCAATCTCATCCGTTTTTTTTAGAATGACGTGGAAACTCCCCTGCAGTTTACCATTTAGCAGGGATTGCAGATTTGTTTGCATCTAGAAGCTTTGCGCACTGCTGTGAGACCTTTTCAACACTTTTGACATATCTGACAAATTAGGAATTTATTAATATTTACATAAGTTTGCCAGCAAGATCAAATGAATCTTTTATATATATACCGGTAATAATAATAATAATAATAATAATAATATATATATATATATATATAATGGTGGCCTACTTGCTTGACGCACTGTTTCCAGTTTGTGTGTGTATGCACATTAAGACCTGCACATTTCAACATTTATAGAAGTATGAAGCATTTATAAAATACCTGCCTGGTGTTTCTTATTGTCCTCTACTTAACGGTTTATTGTAAATGACACTGTGAAAATATGGATATGAACATTTACAATAAAAATACAGTGTCAAAAGTTTGTGAAGAGAAGCTGCAAGGCTGCTGTGAAGACACTAATAAGGTCTAGTCTGGTGCAGTGCATGTGTGCTTCACCTAGAAAGTGATAGGGAAAAAACTAAGGGCATTAGAAAAAACAATTCAAGGAAATCCTCTGAATGTTGAACTCATTTCACAGTATGAAATTTTCAAGCAGTTCACATAACTTTGAGCCGTTTTGAATTTGTCCTAATTGGACCACCTATAAATTAGGGTTTATTGTAAAAGCTGATTTGGTTGGGTAGAGACAGACATGACATATCCTCTACTTGAGATTTTTTTTTTTACACACAAGTCTTTCTCAACACTGCTGCCTTTACCAGCCAAACACAAAATCTTCAACTTCTAAGACTCTTGAATAAGAAGTAGCAATGTGCCAGTTAAATGCTGCAATGCTGCCAGTACTAGGTCTGTATTGGAACTATTTGCATCTCAAACAGTGGGAGCACAAAGTCTGAGTCCACTAGTGAAAATGTTTCCAGTTTGCATTTTTCCTATTTAGTCAGTTTCTTTACAAATTGTATTTTTAGCAAAACAGTTGAGTAACAGTTTAATTGGAATATTTACATTAAAGAATTTAAGTGTAAACATTTTACTTTTAGAATGCAATATGAGGCATGGACTCTGACCTTTTGTTCAAAGTGATTAAAATTTGATTAGAATCTTAAATATTTCTTATTCATTTTAAGGTTTCTTGTTCATCAAAAGGTTTCTTTGGTTTAAATCTTAAAATGTTATTTCTATGTTTAAATTAGATTTTAAATCAGCGTTTCAGTGTTGACTTGGACTTTTACCCCACTGTATATGTTTTCAAAAGTTTGCACAACTGACACCAACAGAAAAAAGAAGAGTTATTTTTGAATCTGAATATAAGTCAAGTCACCTATATATATATATATATATATCTGTACATTAATCATGCTGTCTAATCAGCATCTTGATATGCCACAGGTGGATGGATTATCTCGGCAAAGGAGAAGTGCTCACTAACACAGATTTAGACAGATTTGTGAACAATATTTGAGAGAAATAGGCCTTTTGTGTACATAGAAAAAGTCTTAGATTTTTGAGTTCAGCTCATGAAAAATGGGGGCAAAAACAAAAGTGTTGCGTTTATAATTTTGTTCAGTGTATATATATAGAACTTTATACAATACAGATTGTTTCAAAGCAGCTTTACAGTGTTAAACAGGAAAACATGTGCTGATAAGGCAAGAGGACAATAGAAAACAGTCAGTTTATCAGTTAAATTTATTTCATTGTTGATTCAGTGATGTCATCGTTCAGCTCAGTTCAGTTCTCTTCCAATAGTGTCTGTGCAGTCAAGTCAACAATGTCGCCAGAAATTGTGTCCCCAATAAGCAAGCCAAATATAAATATAAAGTTAATGTCTGCAGAAGAAAGGCTTTGATAGAATGATCAGTCTTTTGAAGTAATTGCATCAGATGAGCTGCCTTTTATGAATTTTAAACAATGCTAGACTGCACTCCAGCAACTCCTTTCTAGGTGGTGCGTGTTGTGAAGCGCATTACTCCACTTGCACGGAAAGGAAATGATTGTTCACTCAATTAGAAATAGAAGATGGTTATGAGATTGTCATGGAATTTGAACTGAAGTTATTTCTCTGAGCTAATTCACATGTAAATCCTTTAGGTTTAGGCAAAAAATAAATAAAGGTAAAATTGCAACAGTGGCACAAAGAAAATTAAAAGCATAGTCTGATTTATCCAAGGTAGAAGATTCAGGCCTTGATAGATTCTTATAGCTGTAAGTTTTGTTTTTACTCGCGATCTTTACAACACGCATTACATTACGTATTTCATGGCACACTCGTTTTATGCGGTTTTGGCGCCACCTATTGTTGTGGGTGTATTATTGACATGTCAAAGTCTAGACCCTGAATATAAGACGACCGCGTTTTTTCAGATGTATTTCCAAGAAAAAACATCGTCTTATATTCGGGACAGTACGGTATATTCAGCAAAAGCAAATACAGCATTGCAACAAAAGAACAATAAATATGTAAATATTGTTCTTTGAGCAGCTTGTATTTACAAAAAGATAGACAGAGCATGGACAGAAAGACACTTGTTTCTTCATAGTGGACCACCTTGTACATTTCTTGCTTACATATCAGTGGTGATTAATGATGACATGATCAATATGATTATGGACATAATGTCTTTTGTGTTTGTGACTGATATAAAAGTAATGATCCCCAACTGAGACCCAAAGTAATTGGACCGAGATTGTTAAATCGAACTTCCTCTCAAACCTGACAGAGAAATTAAGCTGATTTGTTTCCTGTCATCATCCATAACGTGGCTTTTATTCACATAACATCTCACAAATGTGGATAGGCTGCCTTTCATTAAATATTTTCAGCCACTTTTGGATCAAGTCAAATACATTTTTAGCAGCTTAGGGAAAACTGAATGTGTGAGCTCAGTCTCTGAAATGGTTAAGCGGTGGCCTGTCGCTTCCTCTCCAAAGAGATTGAATCCAACTGATAAGAGTTATGCTGAATCCTCAAGGCTGCTCTGAATATCTTGTGTGCTGGCATTTTGCTCCACAGGATTCCTTTTTATAATGGTTAACCACACATTTTACTACACAGGCTTTCTTTTCTAGACTGATTTAACAAATTCATTTTATAAGAAGCTACTATTTCACATTCATTTTATTGAAATGTGGAATTATTGTAGTAATATGAATAAAAGATGTGGCAAAATAAGCGGTCAATTGGGAATTGCATTTGCTAGTTGGTGTTTCAGCACCATGGACAGGTCCACAACACAACTTAATCTTATTGCTTCCTTACCACTAGTTTGGTGATTTCTTATGAGTTAGTCATTAAGCTGAACCTCCCTGTGGTTTGAACAATTGGATACCAAAACAGAATTTGTAACAATTTTAACCATTAGACTATACTGCGCATCTCATGTAAAGCCAGCAGTGCCTCAGAAGTTTAGTAAGAGTCTCAAGGTGGATGAAGAGATGGACCCTTCCATTTTTTTTTATTTTATTTTATTTTAGTATAATTAGTATAATTTATTAATATTACCATCTGGGACTATCACTAAGCCACAGTATACTTTTTGCACAACGCTTATAAATTATGCATAAATTAGTTCAGTATGGATAAGGATACTAGTAATTTAGTCTAATAGTAAAATATACTTAAATGTATGAAGTATATTTACTTACTTAATGTAAATCATAATACAGGCTTCTTGATCACCTTGCTGACCTTTTGTGTTCCCTGTAAAAGACAAAGAGCCTTATTTACTTTTATAGTATGGAAAAGAGATATAAGTAAAGAAATAAAAGTAATACCTGCTGAATATCTGCTTTTGTGTTTCACAGAGGAAAGACAATCAGACAGGTTTGGAATTACAATTTTTTTTATTTTTGACTGAACTCTCCGTTAAAATTAAATGTTGCAGGATAAACAATGAGATTTGAAAGCCATAATTGGTAGAATTAAAGAAATTGCAAATGATCATACTTCTTTCATTTATTAATATCCATTACAGAACACAATGAATCATTTTTGAATCAATACAATTGAATCAACTTACAGAAAGTTAAAGAAAGTTACTTTTTTTCTGTCATTATCTCGGCACTTCTCTCTCAGCTCTTTGAAGACATGACGAGTGAGCGCTCCTTATTACTGCCTCCGTGTTTCTGTCTGTGTTGAGAGATGAGCGGAAGAAGAACTAGTTCCTAACCTACGCAACTATTTGTTCATATGATTCTTTTTTTTTTTTTTACTTCGGCGCTCTTGACACACAATCATTTTTGAGAAAAATAAATAAATAAATAAAATAAAAATAGAAGAAAGCACTAGTTAAAACACGTAGTGTCGATATTATTGATGTGAGAATGACCGGTCCTCGCGATAAACCAAATACTATATTTTAAGATCGATCCGCCCATCGTTAGTGAGAATGAGACGTTCGCTCTTTGCGACGGGAGGAGCGTCTCTTATTCAAGCGCCTCATCTCACTCACGGTGAGTCAGTCAGCAAAGCTGACCGAAGGGATTTCTTCATGGAGTACACCTGCAAACTTTCAGCTGCTTTTAAGTTACGCCTTTTAACTGTGTAGAACATCTAAGTAGAACATCGACGCCTCGTGTACCTGTGCTTTTTATCAGACATTGAAGAACATATTTCGGGGGAGAATAAACGATGTATTTAAGTGATGGCATAAGTAGATCATGGTCGCTGGGGGGTTTGGGGAGATACACAAAATCTTAAAGATAGAGGACTACTTGTTATCTCGACAAAAGCATCACCTCAGAAACATGAGGGATTGTCTCCTGTGGAACTTCGCCAAAGTGATTCTGTTCTGGACATTAGTTGATGCTCAGGTAAGACGCTGGGTCTTTACAGGAGTGACATGACATGTTTTTCTTTTCTTTTCTTTTCTTTTCTTTTGTAAGGGCACCTGTGGTAGTCCAGATTAACCGTTAAAAATGTTAAACACTGACCAAAACAACTTAATAGTGCATATACATATTTAAGACGTGCTTTGTGTTACATTATATAAATTCCTTTTTCAGTTTTTATGGTAAATGATAACGATAGAAATTTCTTTAAAGCAAATGATCTGAAGAAGTTACGATTTGATTTGACAGAACGAATGTAAACCTGTGAATGTTTGAGTAACACGTTACAATAAGGTTCATTAGTTAACTAGGCCCACTTTAGTTAACATGAACTAAGAATGAACAATACTTCTACAGCATTTATTAATCTTAGTTAATGTTAATTTCAACATTTATTAATGCATTATTAAAATCAAAAGTTGTGCTTGTTAACATTAGTTAATGCACTGTGAATTAACATGAACTAGCAATTAACGACCGTATTTTCATTAACTAACATTAACAAAGTTAACATCTAACATTACATAAATGTAGCCTATTGTGCATCGTTTGTTCCTGTTAGTTAATACATCAACTAACATTAATTAATAGAACCTTATTGTAAAGTGTTACCAATGTTTGATTTCAACCAACCATTTTACCCAAACACTTTATCTTTACACACACTTAATAAAAAAATATAATTATATATAATTTATAAAATATAAATATATAATTTAATAATATATCTTATACTATTTTTCATTAGTATAGTTCTATCTATCTGTCTATCTATCTATCTGTCACTATCATTATATCTTATTTGATATTGTGTATTTATTTTAAATTACATTAAAAATTCAAGTTTAAATGAAAATAGTCCTTCTGCTTTATTTTCCTGAAACTACTAAAGCTGCAAATAAGGATTTACTTAATCTGATCCTTAAAATATCTTTAGCTGAATAAAACCAGTTGATTTAGTATAGATGTTATGACTATGAAATCATGTTTGTTTTTTAAGCTAACAAAACATTTTAAAAATGCAGTTAGATATTGACTGAACTATGATTCACTTTCAAATGCAATTGCACAGCCAACTACACGTTTTCTTTTGCATGAAAGCTGTAATCTTATCCCTAATATCAGCCTCTGAGACAGAATGGAACAGTGGAGGTTTTGATGAAAGCTTGGTGTGTTTCACAGCTCTTATCCTCTCTCCAAACAAATAATTTTACTTTATAAAGAGTTGCTACTGCCTATAAAAATGCGTTGTCAGGTAACCTAAAATGTGACTTATGTGGTAACATCTACATTTCATTCAACAATATTATTTAACATGACTGAATCAACTTAAATTGGGTGGAAATAGACCCTTACGGTACTGCACATTTCCTTCTTTTTTTTTTTTTTTACATTGAGCATGGAATGCATACAATACGCATGCATGTTTTTTTTCTCCATTATATGTTTTTGACGCATTGTTCACTCTTGGTCTGCCATTGGCAGTCAGAAAACCAGTAAATGCAGTCACTCGAATGAGCATATATAGACCTGTGCTGTGGGTGAAATGACATATAAAAACACACTTGAGTGGCTTGTGCTTTTGTTCATGCATTAATGAACTAAATAAATTGTGTATTGTTTTGCTGAATGATTTCTGTTTAATGCACACTCATATAAACCTGCAAGGTTTTGCCACTGTGTTGCCACTTTAATCAGTCTGAATATGCTACTGTATGTTCTTTGCAACATCAAAAAAATTATGCTTGTTCATCTCACAATTGTGCAGTAATCAACATACAATGCTTCGTAAGATTTATTTTTTATGAGGGTCGGCTTGGTCATATTGCAAGTCTCATGTCATGCCTGTTAATTATTACCTTTAAACACCTGAAACTTACTCCTATTACATTGCCAGCAAGTTGCAGTAATAAATTAGCAAGTCATGAATGCATGCATGCAAAAATGTGCTCATCCTGTGAGAATAATCTAAAAAAATGTGTTAAAGGGGTCATATGATGCTTTTTTAAAGATCATTATTTTGTGTATTTGGTGTAACAGAATATGTTGACATGCTTTAATGTTCAAAAAACACATTATTTTTCAAATACTGTACATTATTGTAAGTCCTCTATGCCCCGCCTCTCTCAAACGCTTCGTTTTTCTCCCTCTCACTCTCTCGCGCTCTCTCTCTCTCTCTCGCTCTCTCTCTCTCGCTCTCTCTAGAAACACACAGCGTCTCCCTGACATGGCTGCTTCAACACTAACTGCGGTTACTGAAACCACGCCTTCTTTCTTTGCGTGCACATTTGGGCTGCATTATGCAAATATTTCCACATAGTGACGTAGATATGTGGGGGCGTGTTAGAACGAGCCGTTTTAGGGGGGCGTGGCAGAGTCTTAACTTTGATAAAGAATATCTCTTTGGTTTTGAGACTTTAGTCTTTGCAACTTCAGGGATCTTATCTATGCACAATCAGCTTGTAACACTCAAAAGAGAAAGGAAAACTTGAAATCGCATCATATGACCCCTTTAAATGTTGCACATCCAAAGTAGTTACATCTGAATGTGTTACATCTAAATTAGTGGTTCACAACCTTTTGACTCAAAGGCCCACCACTCACCAACAGCAGTTAAAATCAACACTAGTTGATCTAGATATAGTAACTAGTTGATCTAGATATCTAGAAATAGAAAATCTAGATATAGAGACCACTTACTGTTTTTACTAAATGAACACAACAGGAAAATGTAAAATCAATGATCGTATATATATATAT